ATGTTTTGTTTTACTTGATCTTTTGCTGCTTCGCTTTTCTCTCACTCGTTAGCTATGTAAATAAAATTTGATCCAAGTTAATAAGGTTTTAAATTCAACAAATTGGATAGTAATTGAAACAATTTTGTTCATTATAGGAGTCTTGCATTTAAACCAAAAACTTGTATTGTTGTTGTTGCCTTCTAATTTAATCTGCAAGTGCTTAACTTTGAATGTTAGATTGTTTCAAAAATAGTAGACGATGCAATTAGCCAATTACTAATGGAGCCTTAATTAATAATTGGTTTTTCTTAAAAAAACTACGAGCAAAAAAATAATCTAAAATGTTATGTCAAAATATCGGTTAAATTTTTGTTTCTTTTATGAATCAAATATGATTGTATGCCATAACCATTGTTACAATACAAGGATGACCTTTCGCTTGAAGGGATGTACGTACAATATAATTACTAGACATCTTCAAACACACACACACACAAATATAAATAAGCTTAAAGGATGGTAAGAAATTTAAAATAAAAATAAGAATCAACAATGGTTAAATTAATGTAGGATGATCAAAGCGAAATCTAATTTCCATATATATATATATATATTTATGCCCTATCCGAGTCCGAGTCTGTATGAGTATGAGCTTACTATTTAGAGAGAGGTCATTTTTTACTTGAAAAGTATCAAGTTTGAGGATTGCATTAGAAATCAAGGTGGATAAGAACTATGTTGCAATCCTCCCACATAATTTTAGGCTTGAACAACGGAGGAAATAGTTGGCTTTTGTAAGGGAGACTCTCCGTAATAATATCATTTTACGGGTTAGGGATCAAATTTTTGTTTAAGAAAAAAATGTTTTGGATATAGATTTCTAGAGGAATATTTTTAATCATAATTTAAGATTAAATTTCAACTTCTTATTATTTTTTTCGTATATTCTTATATGTTTTGCTACTTATGTTTCAAATATTGTAATATTGCGAAAGATTTAAATACTATTTCTACTTTTTTTTCTTTCACATATACGATAAGCATGCAAAATTTGCAAGCTTAAAAATTGCGAGAGATCCATATTTTAACATGTCATGCTTGCATTGAAATCTCATTTTGTTTTTTAGTTTTCGTATTGAAATACTAAAGATGTTTAAAATAGTAAATTTGTTTTGTTTCTAATCTTATTAAGTTTAATTTTGTCTACTTTATGAGTAAAGCTGGCAACTGATTGAGATGGGATGGGCATTTTATGCTTTAGCTTCGAATTAATATATGCCACGTTGGATACAAACTTCTATAAATTAATTTTTAGAACAGATTAAATAAAACTTATATCAAACCGGACCTATACAAAAATGTTAGCCCCACAAGCAGTTTCAAAATCAAATGTTTAGTTTTTCATTTAGATGTAGTTTTTATTCTAAAGTTGTTGATAATTTTATGAATAAATATATCAAAATCAAATATACGTAATTTTAAAAATAATCTTTTCATCAATATTAAATAAGAATTATTATTTTTTATTTTTTTTATAATCATGCAAGTTTTTTTTACATCAATTGTTATTTTATTTTAATGACATAGTCTTATTAAAAAAACCCGATCCCATAACAATTGCTAGATACCGTTGATAAACTCAACATTTTTTCAAACACGACAAAACCTTTTCCACAATGCATCATCGGCTACACTTCATTGCACCTCATGTCTTCAATGTCGGCAATGTAGTGTCGAAATACCCTATCATCCTCATCCACAAGCCTAAATCATCAAACACCCCATGAAAACCAATAATGGTAGAACAAAAAAGGCACCGTAATTCCATTTAGGCATCGTTTTACAATATTACAAACATTTGGTTTTCTCATCCTTTGCTTATTGCCTAAAACCACAAATAAACACCGCAAACAAAAATAATATATAAGATTCTCGAGCCTTTTATAAAAAATAACATTTCTCTTCGTTCAAAAAATAGATTCGATTTGTAATAATCATCGGAAACAAGATTTCTATCCGTACTACACCATATGAATAATCGACCTTATGAATTCAACGGTTGCCCAATTACAATGTAGCATGAGTATCCTACTAGTTTTGGCTAGAGAAACTATAAGGGTAATGTGATTTAATAAAAATCTGATGCTTTTTTTTTTTTTTTGCTAATTACATAATAAATTGATGGTGTACAAACAATCCGCAACAATTATCGTCTATTTTCGTTTTTCAAGAGTGCCACGTGCCACATAATAAAAGGCCATAATAGCAAGTATATATCATGATTTGGTTAATTTAAAGCCAAGATCCTACCTTTTTATTGTATTAGTGTAATATGGTATGTATATTCTTTCATTGATGCCAAAACAAAATTAGACATTATTTACAAAAATATATATTTTATTTGTAAAAATAAAGATCCTTTAGATTTCTAACAAAATCTTATTTTTATGGGTTTACTTTTGTTCAAGTTGAATGTGCAAACAAAGATAGCAATCACTCTCGTTATAAATGAACAATATGATTACAATACATGCATGAATTAATACTTAGCCTAGTTGGCATGTCGTTTTTTCTCCAAGTTATTATTAGAGTTCAAATCCTAGACTAGATCGAAGGAGAATGTTATTCCATATAGACAAAGTTTTTGTGTAAACTAGTTGGCTTTTTTCATCACACAATAAGTCAAATAAAGTATATTTATTTTACTTTGATTGTCTATAATATATTATTGACCAAATAAAATATATAAAATTAAAGGTAAAAGAAAAATTTTCATATAATTTCATAATTTTTAATAAAACAATTGTATTTTATTTATTTTTTTTGTGAGTTTTTCATAAATTTTTTAATTAAAAAAATACGACTCATATTGTTTAAAATCAATCTCTTCAAGTTGTCATTTTTTATGAAAATTTTCATCCAATTATTTTTATTATTTTTTTTAATAAAATTTTATTTACTAATAAATATGATTTATTTTTATCTATACATGGATTTTCAATTTTTTTAAATAAACAATCAATTAAAAATAAAATTAACATGTTTTATTTTCTTATTTTTTATATAATTAAAATATATCAAAATTATTTTTTTTAATTGTTTTTATTGTAGTCTACTAACTTTGATATATTTCTTACAATTTATTTTTTTAAGTATCTTTTGATTTATATTGTACATGCCCATTCAATATGGTCATGAATATATATTAAGATCATTGATTTTATTAACACCGATCAGTTACTATTATTTTTTAATATTATAAAATTGATTTCATAATTTTTAATCAAAATTTTGTAATTAATTTATTCTTATTCTTATTATTATTATTATTTTATATAAATTTGGTAGTTAAAAAAACATAATTTGTCCTTTCTTATGCCTTCATTCTTAAGTAAAAACCGATAATAAACTACATAATTTTTTTTTCACGAGATAGCTAGTAATAATTAATATAAAAACTTATATAAAGATTAACAAAAGAATCTTGTTTTATTCTTGTTTAATACTGGTGAGAAGATTTTTTGTGCGTGTGTATTAAAAATAATCAATATTAATTATAGAATATTAAAAAAAAAATAACGACAAATTGTTAGTGTTATGTATGTACATACATAGTTAATTTTTAATAAAATCAATTATCCCAATTTTTTTAAATGCATCACGAGCATACTTAATGGGTGATATGCAATATAAATAAAAAAAATATTTTTTAAAAACTTAAGTTGTAAGGAATATATTGAAATTAATAGACTACGATAAAGCAACTATAAAATTGATTTCGATAAATTTTGATTATATAATAAATAAATAAATAAATGAAATACGTGAATTTTATTTTTCAATTGATTATTTTTTAAAATTATTTAAAAAACCATTTTTAGGGAAAAATAAATTATATTTATTAACAAATAAAATTATATAAAAAAGAAAATAAAAAATTAATTTGATGAGAATTTTCATAAAAATAAGAAGAAATTGAAGAGATCGATTTTAAATAATAAGAATAATATAATCCGATTTATATGTTGATTTTTCTAAAATGCTAAAATATATCGTATATATTTCATTATCTCCAGCATGCATAAAAAAATAACAATTGGTTTTTTATACACCCAGCTCAATAATAAATAAATTGTTAAAAAAATAAAAAAGAAAAAGAAAAAAAGACAAGTATGCATGCTTAGTCCATATAAGGACAAAAAATATATTTTGAAAATATTAGAGATAAAAATGAAACACAATGACAAATTAGCATACAAATGCTCAAAAAAATAAAAAATACTGAAAATATCCCCTAATAGTGAAAAAAATAGTTTATGTGAGTCTGGTTGAATAATGTTGTGAATATTATTAACTTCAACTCTTTTAATTTTTTTTTATAATGATTGTTGAAGACAAAATCAAGAAGGGAGTTTCGATGCATTTTCACTAAGACAATAAAAAAATAATAAGAAGAAGATGGAATATGAGTAGGAGTTAGAATACCAAGCATTGGAACTTGGAAGAGGTTTTTCCACCTACGAGTTGAATGACATCCATGCACGCATGTTGAGACCGGCCCAAGGGAAACGAGAAAAGAAAATAGTTACAGAAACTAAACGCGTTAAATTAATGGGCTGCAACCTTTAGGCTTGTTTTGTCATTAAGCCATTCTCTATTACCGGGCCCTTCCAAATCTGGGACTTTTTATCTTTTGTCCCAATCCACCCAAATTACAGGACTAATTAGCCTTCGAAAAACATCCCATCTCCAACACCAAGTTTTGATTTACACACACACTTCTGTACTGAACCCACAAGAAGACACAAACTGGATAAGCAAAAACAAACGCCGGCACAAAAAAACTGCTTACAAAAACATTGTAACTCTCAAGGTAAGCTCTTTATTTTCTCCTTCCACAACCACCTCTACCCGAACTCTATAAAGATTTTTTTTCCCATCTGGGTTCTTTAACTTGTTCTGCTCGTAGCATGAGTTTTTGAGTTTTTATTGCTTGTTCTATACTAGTAGGTGAGGTTATGGATTTGATAGTACCTACAAGTCACACCCATGAAGGGTTTTGCTCATTTCAATACTTCAATATAGACAACAGTAGAAGAAGTAGCTTTGTTGGAGCTAGAATAAGGGGTAATGTTGGTTCAAGCAGTAAAGTCCATGTGGGGTTTAGAAAAATAAGAAAGAGTCGGGTTTTTGCCGTTTCGGGGGTCGAAACGTTTCGCTGCAATGGTAAATTGCAAAATCTTGATAAGCCTCTAAATGGGCATATGGGAAATGGACATGTTTCTTCGAGTTCGATTGAGGAATTTGAGAGCAATAATCAACTTCGTAAATTGGTTAGAAATGGGGAATTAGAAGAGGGTTTTAGGTTTCTAGAGAGCATGGTTTATCGCGGGGATATTCCAGATATAATTGCGTCTACGAGTCTAATTCGTGGATTTTGTAAGATTGGAAAGACTAGGAAGGCAACTCGGATTATGGAAATAATAGAGGATTCTGGAGCAGTTCCAGATGTTATAACCTATAATGTATTGATTAGTGGGTATTGCAAGGCAGGAGAGATTGATAATGCTTTAAAGGTTTTGGAACGGATGAGTGTAGCCCCAGATGTCGTTACATATAACACAATATTGCGTACTCTGTGTGATAGTGGGAAGTTGAAGCAAGCAATGGAAGTTCTTGATAGACAGTTGGAAAAGGAGTGTTATCCAGATGTGATTACATATACTATACTGATTGAGGCGACTTGTGCAGAAACTGGGGTTGGACAGGCCATGAAGCTCTTAGACGAGATGCGAAGTAGGGGATGCAAACCTGATGTGGTTACGTATAATGTTCTTGTCAATGGGATGTGCAAGGAAGGGAGATTGGACGAAGCTATCAAGTTCTTAAACAGCATGCCATCATATGGATGCCAACCTAACGTCATTACTCATAATATTATTTTGCGTAGCATGTGTAGCACTGGCAGGTGGATGGATGCAGAGAAATTATTGACTGAAATGGTTCGTAAAGGTTGTTCTCCTAGTGTCGTTACTTTCAACATCTTGATTAATTTCTTGTGCCGTAAAGGTTTACTAGGCCGAGCAATTGATGTACTGGAGAAGATGCCAAAGCATGGATGCACTCCAAATTCCTTAAGCTACAATCCGTTGCTCCATGGCTTTTGCAAAGAAAAGAAGATGGACCGGGCAATTCAGTATTTGGAGATAATGGTGTCTAGAGGTTGTTATCCTGATATTGTGACCTACAATACTATGCTCACAGCCTTATGCAAAGATGGGAAGGTTGATGCTGCAGTTGAGCTACTCAATCAGCTGAGTAGCAAAGGGTGCTCGCCTGTTTTAATCACCTACAATACTGTGATTGATGGGCTCTCAAAGGTGGGAAAAACAGATCAAGCTGTAGAACTGCTTCATGAGATGCGTGGAAAGGGGCTGAAGCCTGACGTTATCACCTATTCTTCACTTATTGCTGGGCTTAGTAGAGAAGGAAAGGTTGAAGAAGCAATTAAGTTTTTTCATGATGTGGAAGGATTTGGGGTCAAACCCAATGCTTTCACCTACAACTCTATCATGTTTGGACTTTGTAAGGCTCAACAGACTGATCGTGCAATTGACTTCCTGGCTTATATGATATCCAAGGGATGTAAACCCACTGAAGTTTCATACACCATTCTCATTGAAGGCATAGCTAATGAAGGTTTAGCTAAGGAGGCTTTGGAGTTGTTAAACGAGCTGTGCTCGAGAGGAGTTGTCAAGAAAAGCTCGGCAGAACAGGTGGTTGTCAGGCTGTAGCCCTTGATTTGTGCCATCTCTTGCTTTGGACGACTGGTCTCTGGTATTTTGTTTGCTAGATTTCACGAGCCTCACTCTTCCTGAATTAATTATTTTAAGCACCTCGTATTTTACTTGAATTTGCAATTCACAATAAGCAAATCCAAGTTCAGTTTTGTTAGTCTCTGTAGCCCTCGTCTTTCAGTTCGTTTGGTCTTGGGTGTGCTCCGTAGCTCTGATGAATGTTCACACACCTGACTGTCTATCCTTGTTTGAGCTATAAATATTACGTATTCAAGCTTGCTCTCTTCTTCAGCTTGCACTTGACTTCTTTCTATTAATATGATGGTGTTTTTCTTGGTATTATGATGGTTGCTATTTGGGTTGCCTTCTTAAAGCCCAAGAAAAATAAAAGGAATTTATTGGATGCTTCTCTCTCCTTTGTTTGGAGACAGCGCGAATGATGAGCTCTGAAAAAAGTTAACTGAGGTTGCGGGGATTGTGAAAGTGGCAGTAGTACCCATGAAATTTGTAGACGATTGAAGTGGAACAATGGAATTTCCTTCAGTTCTCAGTACATTGTTGTTAAGACAGATCATGCTGTCATCGACTTTCATATCGAGTTACGATGACAAAGTCTCCTGCTGCTTAATTTTGATAATCTAAATACGTGGGGATCACCATTTTGGTCTTTTAACATAAATGTGTGGTTTTTGCCCTTTTTGGATTTCCAATCTTCTGTGAAATCGCACCGTTGTTTCCTTTTTTGAAACTTTCAAGCAGTTTAGCCTAGATGCTTTCCAAAATATTGACACTGTTTCTCAAAGCTAAAATCATTACGTAACTGAATTAGATGTTTGCCTTCATGGGTGTTCTCCGTGGCCATTGAAGTTGGTTGGGAGTTTTAGCCAATTCTTATTGCACTGCACTGTGCAAAGTATAGGCATATTACAGCCACCGTGCATTTGACTCCAAACAGTTTTGGGCACTTTTTGTGATTCCTTGCTTCGAAAATTGGTATTTCCAAAAAGTTGCTAGCACATCTAGAGATTCCATATCGACATGGTTTCTGCTCTTGGTTCCTGTAAACTCAACACGCAAGCTGAACCATATAAAAATATGGTTAAATGGATGAAATCTCCTTCGAATTTTAGTTTCTTTGAATATCAGTTTTTTAATTTTTAATTTTAAATTAGCTGAACCATATAAAAATATGGTTAAATGGATGAAGTCTCCTTTGAATTTTAATTTATTTAAAAATCAATTTTTTAATTTTTAATTTTAAATTTGACTTCCACGAAAATTTTATTTTTTATTTAGTCTATCTTTTAGTTTTTTATTAAAAATAACGGTCATGTAAATAACTTTATGATATAAATCATTCAATAAGATTTTTTTGGATTTCTTTTTAAAATTCTAGATTATTTTTTATTTTTTTTTATTTTTAATGTTTATAAAATAAAAAATATATATACTTTCTAATTTTGAAAAATTCTCAGATTTTTTTTTAAATGGATTGAATTTTTTCAAATATTTTTTTATGAAGCTTGAGTTTAAAATATCAACAATTGATTTTTTTAGAAAGAAATTTGATAGCTGAAAATTAAAAAAATTCAAAAAAAGTTAAACCCGATAATAAAAATTTAAAGATTGATTTTTAAATAAATTAAAATTCAGACGAGACTTGTTCTATTTAGTCTGAAAGTATGGATGCTTCGGCAAGATGGAAAAAAACGAAAAAAATCATAACAAAAACAATGAGAGGAACCAATGGTGGGTAGAAGGACAGGTGCCTGCTAAATGGATGAGCCAGATGTGTGCTGTATGGTTTTATATGACAGTATGAATCACATATAGCAAGACCAAAAGGCCAAAAAAAAAAAAAAAAAAAAATCACCAAACAAAAATTGAAAGGAGCAGGATGAAAGAGCCAGTACTGATTTATCTACAAGGGTTTCCGTAATAAACCCGTGGCCGTGGATATTCTTTACGTAAGCTTCCAATATCCCTGCTCTATCAAACAATCTCGTGGTCTCTACAAATAGGATTCCACGTCTGAAAAAAGTAAAATAATGATAATAATTAAGCCAATCTTTCATAAAATATCAACCATTGAATATATAAATTTTGGGAATCAATTTGGTTACAATATTTTATAAGATTAGAGATAGAAGTAGATTGGATATCTGCCTATTGATTCAATTTCTTATACTATTTTATTAAAAAATACCATGTTTATATTCATTTAAAAATTATTTTCTAAACTTATACCTTACCATATCTAATTTATCCATCCATTTAATGCTTATCTGATACCGGCTAGAAAAATTTGTATTCAAAGTTATCATAAAAAACATTTTGATCTCTATTTTAAAAATTTTGTCCAATCAGATCCCTTTATATTTTTTTGGAATAATACGTATTGGAAGGATATAAAGTGGCATGGGTTTCTATTATGCTGGATATTTATTGGATTTGATAAAATGAATATTCCTTTAATATCCTAACTATTGTCATCCCTATATAATATTAACATTTTTTTAAAAAAAATCGATATTAACTGCTCGAGCCAAGCTTTTCTGATGAGCAGTAAATCTCTTGGATTCTTTTCAGTCTTGTTCTTAACTGTGCTAAGACCAGATCAGCACTAGATACTATTCGAGGGGTACTGGCTACTCGCGAAGGCATGCCATGATACGATTCTCTGTTGAAAATATACTCTTCGGATGATTGCGGTTCCCAATTAAGTTTAAGCACAGAGCTGCAGGAAAGTTGTCTGGAATAACTACCAGTATATATATAATGTATGGCTAAATGGTAAAAGCCTAAAAGGTTTAAGAAAGCAGATTTCATCGCGTGCTATATGGCTAAAATTTTGCGATCCATATCAAACATGTTACCGCTCCTTCCTGCCCAGGTTCTCTTTAGTATTGCAAACGCTTACGTACCATCTTGCACTCAGAGATTCCCTTGTTAATATTACCAGAAACAAGTCAAATTGACCAGTTGTTTCTTGATCCCTCAACATCATCCCTTACTTTCTTTATACTCTTGTTTCCAATTTTTTCCTTAAAAACAAAAGGAAACTTGTTCGTGTGATCTTGTAAAATCTTCTCCACCACACACACAAAATCCCTGACAAATAAGTGGAGAGTGGGCGAAAGACGCACAAAAAAAAACACAGATACCCCACAACCATTAAAAAAGAATAACTTTAATTTCATCGTCGTTACTAAGAAAGAAAAAGCTGCAATCATGGAGAGAACTTCACCTCCTAGAAATACAAAAGAAGAAGAAGCTGGGTCGCTGTCATGTTGGGGTCGTCTCAAGTACTTGAAGTTTCCATGGACTAAAAGAAGAATAAGCAGCAACACCACAACGTCTTCAAGACAGAAGAGTAATGTAGGTTGCAACATAACAGCAGCTCTCATGAGAAACAATAGAAAACCAAAAGTACCAGCTGGAGGACGTTTTAGGTATTCCCCTTTGAGCTATGCTCAAAATTTTGATGATGGTAGCTGGGATAATGATGATATTCACGAGGATGATGTATATCCAGGGTTCTCTTCCAGATTTGCTCCACCTTCATCAAGATCGCTTGAAGAAGATAAATAAAACAGAGCTGGTTGATTGGAATTTCTTCTGAGATTGTTGGCGTACTGGTATTCTGCTGAATAAGCCTCAATTCTTGTTGAATGATATTTTTAACTCTCTCTCTCTCTCATCTCTCTCTTTTTTAAAAAAGAAAAATAAAAAATAGCATTATACAAATAATTTCCCTCTTGCATGGAAATTTCCTTTCGGGGATGTTCATTTCTTATTGTAAGCTGTTGGAATAATAGACATCAGCACCGGCTTAATTTAAAGCTAATTCAAGTTAAAATCTGTATTGGCAATGTTCTTCCCCAAACTAAGATAGGCTGATGGTTAAAGTTGAATGTGCAAACCAAATTCATCCCGTTTAGTCCAAGCCATGGCACTGACAGAGAGGAATGCTGACACACTGTTCTCCTATGCAAAGTGAACCTCAGACCCACTAATTAGTTGTTGGATTGCTTGGCCCAAATCGAAAGTTGAGAAGGAACTTGAAAATTTGAAATGGTGTGGTCGTCTTAATTCGTCTCCGGCTGCAGTTCGCTATAATCTTCAACCCAGAATGAGATATAGTCTAGTAGTTCTAACAAAACCTTAATAATTGCACAATAAGAAACCTGGATGCAAGGCAAAAAGTAAATACATAATCGATAGAACCTCAATAAGAATAGTTATTTCTAACAAAACTTTAATAATTGTGCATGAATCTCTTCATAATGTGTTCATTGATACAAGAAATTTTAGAGTACTCTCGGAGTAATTATGAATAATTTTTCCATTGATATGGTAAAAATTTAAGCATTTTTCTTTTTATTATAAAGCACATAAATATATTTTAGGAATTATATTAAAAAAATAAATAAACGATAGACAATTCAAATACGCTGTGGCATTTATAATTATGCATTTGTAATTATACATGGATGCTTAAAAACTATAATTTTGATTTCAATTAGGAGAAGTATCATTTTTTTTAGTATTTAATCTCTATTACTAAAGAGTCCATTGTATTATCTTGACTATAATTAGTAATAAACATATATAATCTATTTAATAACATATAACATTATTAAATTATTAGGTAAAGTTTCTTTTTGTAAAAAATAAAGTAAATATCTAAAAAATTTTAAATTATTGCTTAAGAAAAAAATTATAATTTATTACATTTTTTGAACTTTAAACAAATTATCATTAAATTCATATATCTATAGATGCCTTTTTTTCAAAAAAAAAAAAAAATACGTAAGTTTATCAATGGGCTGATTTTAAGATTTAATAGTTTGTTTCACGTACCATGATCGTAAAAGGTGTGCGTAAAGTTGATTATTTTACATTAAATAATACTATATAAATAATAAAATTATTATAATGTACAAAAATAATTTTCATTCAAGATTTTTGTTAAAAAAAATTAATATTATATATTACGTAGAATTATTTGAAAACCAAATATAAGCTAATAAGACATTGATAAAGCAGTTAGTGGCTCAAAGTATAGAAGTTGGATTGTTAGCTAGGTTGAGATTAATTTTTTACCACCCCTACAATTAAATAAATTCAAATAGGAGAATAAAGCTAAAAAACTTGTGGAACCAATCATTATGATATTTTCAACAATTTAGTTACCTTTAAAAAAAATATTAAATTATCATTAAAAATATTTGATTAAATTATATTATTCATAATAAGCAATTTAATAATTAACAACATTTTAGCCAATGATGCCATGCGATAGTGCCACCCTATTGTTCTTAAGGGAATCAAATTTAGTTTGCAATAGGAAAAGATAAAGGTGAATTATTGGATTTTTTTTTATAATTTTTTTTACAATATAAGATAGTTATATACTTAAGGGCTTGCAAATTAAAGAAACTGATTATAAGATGAAGTCCAATTGCTTTGAAATAACATCTAGAAATTAAAAATGCTACGATTTTAGGTTAATATTATTAATTTTTTTAATATCTAAAATATTTTCTTTTAATTTCTATCCAAATATACATAGTTTTTTATAGATATTTTTATAGCATTGTTTTTTCCAACCTCTTCCGTTTTCATGTAATATTAATTTTTTTTAATGATAAATATTAAAGACAAATAAATTAAATATTTATAATTTATCCATAAAAGTTATGGATTGTATTATTTAAATGTTTGTTAAATTATATCCTTGTATCTTATACAAGGATTTTCTCATTAATAGTAAAATATTTGAAGACTTTTACCTCAACTAATTACATGTTTTCTTTACTGTTGAGTTATTTTGTTTTCCTAGAATCTTCTTTGCTCTTTAATACACCGTGTGTTGTAAATTTTATTAACATAAATAGAAAGTAAGTCTAATGATATATTTGTATGAATATAATTCATATTTAACTAAACACTATTATTTTTACTAATAAAACTATAATATATACACACACACATATGTGTGTGTGTGTAAAATTGTTAATTTAATATTTAAAAGTTATTGATGAGAATAATAAAAATAATTTTACTATATTTTTAAATGAATTGCTGCTTTAAAGTTTTAATAGTAATAAAATAAAAAGGATACATTACAAAATATATCTTGTAGTTAGATGTCGAGAACACTCTACCACCTTATTTTTCAAAAATTATACTGTACATCCTATGATTTTTATATTTGTTTTAGAAAACACTCTATATTATAATTTCGTTTTTAGTGTAAAAAATGTTTAAATTATTACAAATTTGTCATTATATCTTTATAATGGCTAGAATGTCTTTTCGAAGCATTTTTGTTTTAAAAAGGAAAAATAGTCATTTCAAATGAAAAATATTGTTGTTAGTCTTGGTCTATGTAATTCCCTAAATATGTCAAAACATCTAAATTCAACACAACATTAAAAATCTAATTCAAAACACCCAAAATCTTATTTAAACAAAATCAATTACTCTATAACACAGTTGCGAACTAGTATGATGCAAACCAGTATGATGATCAAATCTATGAAGAAGCTAAAACATGTACTTAAGCCATAACATAGACTATAGCTACAACTTCTAATGCTCATTAACTAACTTCACTCTCCAATCTAGATCCTCACTATATTTCAAATAAGGAATAGAGAACTAACATTGATTTTGGTCTTTGTTTTGCAGTCATGAGTTCGAGGAAAATGGAAACAAGGCTTCATAGATGAGTTTCTTACACAATATGGATTTGGAGTGTTTTCTTTGTTTGCCTTATACATAATCCAAGGCTTCCGACCCCCCTAGACCTTAAGCCATATATCAAAAAGTAGACCAAGCTCTTGTCACCAACACATCACTTGAAACACCAAAGTTAGAAGGAATGGCAGAATGTCAATGTCACATAAAATATAAATTCTATCAATTTTCACTTTATTTGCATTTTCAAAGGTTGATAAAAAAATATTAAGTCATCTACATCATCAACATAAGCAATAAAGACAACAACAATAAAGACTTCCTTATCATGAACAACATATCCAAGCAAATGAGGAAATCCATAACTGAGCATCGCTTGATGAAATTCTCCTAAAAAAATCAATATAAAAAAATTGGGTTTTTTTACAGAGTTCTAAATTAACCACCTAAAAAACATTAGAACTCCCAAATTTTTTAATGTGTTTAGCATATCACTTATAGCACCAAAGTTAGAAGTGAGGCAGAATGTCCATGTCACATAAAATACAAATGCTATCAATTTTCACTTCATTTCCAGTTCCAAAAGCTCACAAAGAATATTAAGCCATCTACATACAAAAGCAACAACGGCAACAACAATAAAGACTCCTTTACCACAAACAACGTGTCTAGGTAAATGAGCATTGCTTAAGGAAATTCCCTTAAAAAAACCAGCATAAAAAGATTTGAGTTTTTTTAGAGAGTTCTAAATTAACCACCTAAAAAAGCATAAAACTCCTAATTTTTTTAATGTGTTTTGCACATCAGTTTAGCACTAAAATTAAAAGGAAGGGCAGAATATCTTTGTCACATAAAACACAAATCCTACCAATTTTCACTTTATTTTCATTTCTAGTAGCTGACAAAGAATATTAAGCCATGTACATCATCAACACAAGCAATAAAGACTTTCTTACCATGAATAACATGTCTAGGTAAATGAAGCAATTCATAAATAAGCATTGCTTAATGAATTTCCTTTTAAAAAAATCAACATAAAATTTTTTGGATTTTTTTATAGAGTTTTACATTAACCACCTAAAAAACCTTAACACTCCCATTTTTTTAATGTGTTTTGTACATCACTTGCAACACTAAAGTTAGAAGGAAAGGCAGAATATTCCTGTCACATAAAGCACATATCCTATCAATTTTCACTTCATTTTTATTTTTAAAAGCTAACAAAGAATATTAAACCATCTACACCATCAACATAAGAACCAAAAACAACAATAATAAAGACTCCCTTACTGTGAACAACATGTCCAGGTAAATGAGGCAATCCGTAAATGAGCATTGCTTAATGAAATTCTCCTAAAAAAATCAACATAAAAAAAATTTGGATTTTTTAAAAGAGTTCTAAATTAACTACTAAAAAACTCTTAAAACTTTTGATTTTTTTAATGTGTTTTGCACATCACTTCAGCACTAAAGTTAGAAGAAATAGCAGAATGTCATGTCACTTAAAATACAAATCCTATCAATTTTTACTTGATTTCCATTTCTAGAAGCTGATAAAGAATATTAAGCTATCTGCATCATCAACATAAGCAACAAAGACAACAACAATAAAGACTCCCTTACCACGAACAACATATCTAGGTAAATGAGGCAATTCATAAATGAGCATTGTTTAATGAAATTCCCCTAAAAAAATCAACATAATTTTTTTTTTTTGAGTTATTTAGAGAGTTCTAAATTAACCACCTAAAAAACCTTAAAACGCTCAATTTTTTAATGCATTTTGCTTAAAACATCCAATTAAAGGATAACAAAATTGTTTCGAAGCAAAAATTAAACATTTTAAAAATTGGAGTTCTTTTGGATTTTCAACTACGGATTAAAAA